ATGTTAATGGGCTTTATATGTGATCTTCAGAAGCTCTTGAAGGACTGTTTAGTGGTTGAGATCTTTAGATGCTGTCTGACTGGTGGTTGAGCTCTTCAGAGACTGATTGCTGGCTGAGATCTTTTGAAGCTGTCTGATTGGTGGCTGAGCTTTCAGGAGCTGTTTGAATGGTGGTTGAGTTTTTCAGAGCATGTCTGATTGGTGGTTAAGATCTTCAGAGCATGTCTGATTGGTGGCTGAGCTTTCAAGAGCTGTTTGAATGATGGTTGAATTTTTCAGAGCATGTCTGATTGGTGGTTGAGATCTTCGGAGCATGTCTGATTGGTGGATGAGATGTTTACATGCTCTTTGATTGGTGTTTGAGATCTTTAGATGTTGTCTGACTGGTGGGTGAGCTCTTCAGAGAGTGATTGATGGTTGAGATCTTTTGAAACTGTCTGATTGGTGGCTGAGCTTTCAAGAAGTTCAGATGCTTTGTGATTGGTTGAGCTTTCAGAGGTTTCCGGATTGGTGCTTTAGAGGCTGTTTGATTGGTGGTTGAGCTTTCATAGGTTTTTTTTATTGGTGCTTTAACTCTTTAGAGGTTGTTTGATTGGTGGTTGAGCTTTCAGAGGTTTTTTTTATTGGTGCTTTAACTCTTTAGAGGCTGTTTGATTGGTGGTTGAGCTTTCAGATGTTTTCAGATTGGTGCTTTAACTCTTCAGAGGCTGTTTGATTGCTGGTTGAGCTTTCATAGGTTTTTGGATTGGTGCATTAACTCCTCAGAGGTTGTTTGATTGGTGGTTGAGATTTCAGAGTTTTTTATTGGTGCTTTAACTCTTTAGAGGCTGTTTGATTGGTGGTTGAGCTTTCAGAGGTTTTCAGATTGGTGCTTTAGAGGCTGTTTGATTGGTGGTTGAGCTTCCAGAGGTTTTCAGATTGGTGCTTTAGAGGCTGTTTGATTGGTGGTTGAGCTTTCAGAGGTTTTCAGATTGGTGCTTTAGAGGCTGTTTGATTGGTGGTTGAGCTTTCAGAGGTTTTTGGATTGATGCTTTAACTGTTCAGAGGCTGTCTGAATGTTGGTTGACCTTTCAGAGGTTTTTGGATTGGTGCTCCAACTCCTCAGAGGCAGTTTGACCTTGTCGGAAGCTGTGCTTTCTGGCACTGACTGTTGGCGCAGTTTGAGCAGTGCATCAGGTGAGGGCAGCAGTGAGCATTCTTCAGTGTGCTTTTTCAAATGAGGACACATTTTGAAGGAGATTCCACCGACACATTCAACAGAGACTGGACACACATATTACAGAACGAGGTCATTCAAATGTGCATGCACACACACAGACACACACACACATCTTCCGTGTGGTTGTAAAGGTTGTCTGAGTCCAGTGATAACTGACCAATCAATCCTCATAAAGACATAAAAATAAAACAAATATATAATAGGCAGGTGAATCGACAAAGCTCCACTCCAGTCTTATATTACATATATTGTATATATGTAAACACAGTACTGTGCAAAAGCCAGAGACCACCATCCATTTAATTTCCAGTCAAAACAGCCATTTAGAACAAGTTATTCATTTTTTTAGCTGAATCGTTCGGTGATCAGTCTGTCCACTCTGTCCCTTTATTCCAGCTTCCATTCTGTTCAGGAGACTCAAAGAATCTGCAGACACACCTCCAAAGTTCAGTCTTAGAAGCTGGTTGATCTTTTTCTGAAGTAATCAAACACATTCAGTGGTGTTGAGGTCTGGACTCTGGGGTGGTCAGTCCATCGTTCAGCTTCTTTGTTTGATGTGTCCGTCTCCTTTTCTCAGTGAGGTTCTTCTTGATCAGCTACTCATCCTTTCAGACCCACAGCGCTGAGTCGTCTTCTCACAGTGGAAGGATGGACAGAAACACCTGTGGATGTTTTCAGATCTGAAGCAGCTTGATTTTCTCCTCTCTCTCAGAGATGAAAGCTTTAAGTGCTGTTTATCTGATGGGGGCAGTTTTGGTGTCTACCAGGTCTTCCAGGTGGTTGTTAGGAGACACATTTTTGGAAATTCCTGTTTTTTCACTTTGACGTTCTCCTTCCTTGTGCAAGTGGATTGTCTTATATCTGATCTCCTCACAAATATCTTCTGAAAAAATGAATCATTTGTACTTGGCTGTTCTGACTGGAAATCATGGTCTTTGACTTTTAGATAACACTGTAGTCGTGTAGCCTCTCTCTGACCAGCTGGACGATAGAGTCATGGAAAATTCACATACAAAAAGACCACATGTTCCATATAAAATGCCACAAAGGACACCCACCCATACACACACATAGATACAAAAGCGACAGACGACTAATCGAGGACATATCCAGTTGTTTGCGCTGTGCTTTGACTGACGGTGTGCAAATTATTCGTCCAGTAACCAACAACTGCAACAAACACCTTAACAAACACCTTATTATTACACCTTATTAAGGTTATTACATCTGGAAGGGGCTGTCAACTTTATTCCTTAATCTATGTCTAATCTTACAGGGCCC